CTGACCCAAGAAGCGTTGGTAACGGGAATTTAATTCAAAATTATCACCCACTCCTACTATATTATCCATGGTCTGTTGGTAAAAAGACATGATTCACGCCTTCCTAAGGGCATTAATTCTAAGTGAACGTAACAGCTCCGGTATGAATTTGAACTCGGTTTGTCGATTTTATATTCCGCACCCGAGAATCTTTACGCTATCACCAATATAATGTTAAACGTCTTACTCTTACATGGTTTTACACAGGGTATTTCTCGTGGTTTCATGTGTTAGTCGATGCATACGCACACACACACACACACACACACACATTTACGATTATTATTATTATTATTATTATTATTATTATTAATACCGTTTAAAGTAACAAAGACAGACGTACACGCACACACACATATACTGTTATTATTATTATTATTATTATTATTATATTATTACAATAAAAGTTATTTTTAGTTGGTACACGTGTTTCAGTTGCAATTTCTTTTTTCTGAAACAGTCAAATTAATGTCAACATCAGTAATCAAGAAATCTTACAAAAATGTGCCTCCTGAAAGGTATTCCATTTTCCCATATATATATATGTGTGTGTGTGCGCGTGCGCGTTTGTGTTAAATGTTAATGGTCAGAGTTGAATCAGCCCAGGAAATACTATTCATTTGTGCACAATAGACGAGTGAAAAAAATATAAAATAAAAGTAACATGTAGAGCTTTTAACTGTAAAAATCAGAAGTTCAGTCAGAACCAGTAGTATTCTGATCCCCTTATTTTTAATACACACACACATATATATATATATATATATATATGTCTGCTATCCATATTCAACCCCGCATTGAATAATACTGACACATTTGGTCTGGTACTTTTCCTATGTAATTCGAGAGTCTTATTAAAATACAATGAAGAATCGCGCATCTCGGCTTAAGTCACCGTTTTGTGGCCATAACGTTGCTTTTCTGTGCTTCTCCTATAAATATTTTCATGCTAATTGTTTTCCCTCTTTAGTAGATCGACTTTCTGAATTTAAGCGCAGTACTGGATTGGCGGCTTGGTCTCATCATTATACAGTTGAATTGACTAGATGTAACCGTAAGTTCTATGCCAACAGGTTCTTCTTTCGCATTTCTCGCTTGTGGAACTCATTTCCGGCCTCTTGCTTTTCAAAAATGTAATTGCAATGTCACTCATTTTCTTGTCTTTTTAATTTCTGTTTTCTTATTGTTCTCTGTCCTTAATAATTTATTTATTTTCTCATTTTCTTTGACACTCAATAATACCTTACGTCTTAGTAGTTTTATTGCCTTGCTTGGGGTGAAATAATTCAAACACACACACAGACAGACGCAAACACACAGAGACAGACACAAACACATACACACATATATACAAACACATACATACATACATATATATATATATATATATGTGTGTGTGTTTGTGCGTGTTTGTGCGTGTGTGTGTGTGTGGTTAATGTTATTTTGGGAAGCAATTTTCTTTTAAACATCTTTCCTTAAATATGACGGACAAGGAAAATTTTATTAGTTTTTTATTTAGTTTTTATCAGTAGCCTTACATTTTTTTTCTTTTGTGGGAAGTGAGCGAGCATAAAACTGTCCTTATCGACGATTGTCCCAAGCCCTTTTCCACCTCTTTTTAGCCATTTTCAATGTGGGGTTGCTTTTGGTGTTGTTAGTTTATTTTCCTGTTTTGACTATGTGAGATATATTAACCTTTGAATTATAGTAGGATCGTTAATTCCGAGCCGTTGTGTGTTGGGCATGGTGGGGGGGGATTCGAGTGGGCGACATTCTATTTTTAGAATACGTTCAGCACTCCGTAAACAAGGCAAGTTTGATGGTGGAAGAGGGCATTTTAATGTACAAGACCCTCTCTTATAACGAGGTGTTTTCGGAAATTTGATTTTACAAAGAGCTTCCGTAAGGTATCTTGTATATATATATATATATATATATATATATATATATATATATATATATATATATATATATGGTGGGGATAAATATTGTTTCTTATGTATGTGCATATGGGTGCGCGCATGGAAAGGAAGATCATCTGTGACATTTTTCCTTTAGAATGTTTGATTGTGAAAACGAATAAGGCATTCATGAATAAGCCAGATTATGTATAGTGTATTCACAAGTGTATCATCTAATGTACACATATATAAACTAATACATACATCCAAATTTAGACAATATATATTAGTGCAAATAAATAAAAAATAGTACATGCTCAAATCAATTTGCAAGATTCAGATATGCATTTATGCATATGCTAATAAATTCTTTTATTTCTTCGTCTATATGCCGTTGATAACCTTGATAAGCATGTTACCTGCATTGATGAATTGCCTCAAATGTTACTTAACAGATGGCGCTATCATCTGAATTTTCAGAGCTTATCAGTATTATTATGGGCTGTTTCGATTAATATTCTTGGTCTTGGTTATGTCAACACGGTTCGGAACTTATACACTTGCGGAAAGACGAAAACTGTATCGGCCAAAACATAGGGACGAGATCAGAAAGGCTGAGAATATTGACAGGTCGGGGTATAATTATAGGAAATTAATTATGTATTTAATTAAGCCGTCTTTGAAGCGGTCTTTAATATACAGGACAATCGGGGCAGGCTAAACTCTTGAGCTTTCTCTCAGACGGCTCTTCCAGCTTGCAGGTACAATGACAGTTCGGTTCTAAGAACTGAATTGCTGGACTACCATGCGTCGAAAAATGACGGGTATTCCTACACACACACACACGCACATATATATGTACATATAAGTGTGTGTGTGTGTGTGTGTGTGTGTGTGTGTGTGTGTGTGTGTGTCGGTAAATTTTGTAAGAGAATCTAGCAGAAGAGTCAATAAAAAAGACAATTTTGAAAAATCTTTATTTTGACACATGACACCGATAAAAAAAAAGATTTTTATTTTAACTAAATCTATATTTTCAAAATTACCTTTTATATAGTCACTTTATATCAATCTAAAACTATCCCTGAAAAACTTGTATAAAAAATAAAAGAAACCAAATTCCTTTGTTACTAGAGATGTGACCTGATGAACCAGGTAAAATATTTTTTTCTGGGGAAATATATTATAGTCATACAACCTTAATGTTGTACCTTTCTTAATTATTTAATATATATATATATATATGTATGTATTGTTGTAGGCGGTAACTCGTTACCGAGTACTAAAGTGCTTATAAAAAAAAAATTGAGTCCGATGTTGGATCGGAAGAGATGTCCGCACCCACAGGTAAGGTAGGAGGGTTCACGGGACGGATAACTCAGGCTTTTCTTTGGACTCTCTTCGTCTCTTCTATTTGTCTTCTGGTGTTTTCGAAGAATGCTGTTTTTTCGAGGACTACTCTTCTCCAATTGGTTCTTTTACATCATTCTTTCATGCTGAAAGACTTTTCTTCACACTCACACACACACACACACACACACACACACACACACACACACACGCGTACACACACACGCGTACACACACACATATATATATATATATATATGTGTGTGTGTGTACGCGTGTGTGGGTGTAGAAATTGTTCTTTCTTTATATGACTGTAATATGCGCTGTACGTTTTAAAACTGCTTAACGATGTAAGTATAATTAGTAACCATACTTTGATACTACGTCTTTCTCTTTTTAATCTTGCAATTTGATAACATACACATACACACACAAAATCATATACTCATATGCATACAGAAAGGGGCATTTATCCGTACAATCTTATATAGATGACGTTCTTTTTCATATAAAATTATTTCATATTTTATTGCGCATGCTAAAAGAATTACTTTAATACGAAAATTCATATTTTTGTCACGATTTTTGTTTACTGTGTCATAGATAAAAATTACCACAAATTTTGAACTCGGATATTTTTTTGAGAGAGTCACTTTCCGTATAAGGGCTTTTTTACCTAAATAATAAATTACCCACAAACCGAATATTATAAACACAAATTAAAGTTTAAGGTGAGAAGGTTGATTCTTTAACTGTGATGATAAAATCATGACAGATCTTGCTGTATGCTTATGAAAGGGCAATTATTTCCCAGATAAATTTAGCACATTTAATTCTTTTTTTTTATGATGTTGTAAAATTCATAATGTTCACCGCTGTAAACATCTTCTTACATAGCACATATACGTCTTGTACGTATGCGTGTGTGTTAAGACGAGAATAAAACTTTTGTGACTAAAGCGTCTTAGTTTTTTATGTTTTTCAAAAAAAAAAATGTTATTAAATTCATTTATAGCAAATGAACTTGCATTTGTTTTTTTTCTGTTTTTTTTTTTCACAAATTTACAAACCATGAAAACGTGTTCTCACTATTTTCTCTTCCTTTTTAAGTTTATGATTTTATGTAGACTTTTCTATTGAAAACATGTATTGATTAGTTTCGAGGCTGAAATGCATAATTTATAATACTAGTAATTTTTTTTTTTTTTTTTTTTTTTTTAGGGCTGGACTAGTATAGTTTATAATACGCCCACTACACCACAGTGATATTGAAATGATTCACAAATAAACATTATAGAACATAGAAATTTACCAATATTCTCTCTGGAAAAAAAAATCAATCATAAATACATGTAGCAAATTAAGCCAGTAATACTCGTGATGATTTTTTACTTTTTTTTCTATTTTAATTTTCTGATTAATCATAATTTTAATTTAATGATTAAAGTCCTTGCGAGTATCACGACTATAAAATATTCATAAAAGACAATAAGAAGTCTTTAGATGGAACCGGAAATCTAATCCTAAACAGGAAACAAGGGATAAAATTCTACTCCTGTTCACAAAGACCGGGGAGGAGTGTGAGCTGGACGATAAACCGGGTTTATGATTAAGTGAGGGTGTAGCAAGTCAACAAAGTGCCGTTGGGGTAGAAATATTTGATTTTGAATAAAGATGGAAGAAAAAATGTAGTAGATCGGCTGGTTGTTT